ATATTAGGTGGAGTTTCAAACGTTGATGCCCATACAACAATAACAACAACAAAGTCATAAATTCCTAACTATTTGATATCAGTTGCATGGATTTTTTTGTATCGTTGAGTTATGTGAAAGTCATATCCTTAGCTAAGAGTATCTAAATCTTCAATTATATTTTTTTTGTAATTTCTTTTCAGGTCACCCTCTACCTCTCCTCGTATTAATCGTTTCACCACTCATTAATAGCACTTTAAAAAATTTTGTGAATGTCTCAAGTACATTAAGTTTGGGCCTTTCTTACAAAATTTGTTTGCCACCTCTAACCAAATGTTGGCTTGCCAAAGCAAAACAGAATTGACAGAGATTCAGAATACATCTTCCATGAGAAGCTTTTTCTTTTTCAAATGTACTGTTGTTAGGCAAGGATTTTCATACCATGGTGTAGGGGTGTGCCTATATCTTCTTGGCACTGTATAGGGTAGCACATATCAAAGGTCAACATTGGCATCTTTGTTGTAGATTGACATGATGCATGTTGGTATTGTTTCTGCATGGTATTTTTCAACCTGTCTTGTAGGTTGAGTGATGACCATTTTTACATTCTATAAATGTTCTTCCTATCAGAGTATTTCCAATTCAAGAATTAACCTTTACAAAGATGAAAGGGAGAGAGTGAGAGACGAGAATAAACCACTAAGGTATGATAATTATGCTGTAATTGTAGCAAAACGATTACCAAGACTTGCAGTATGGTACACAATCCCATCTAAAGACACGTTTATCCCTTCTTTTCCTTCTCTCCCTCCTCTCCTCTTCCTCTTTTGCTTTTCCCTCCTCTTTTTCTCCTTCTACTTCCCCTTCTCCGTATTATGGTACATACTAGTCTACCATGTTTCAGTACATCATTATTAACAAATCCATGTAAATCTGGTCATCCACCAGTGTGGATCTATACTCAAGATGTAAAACCCTCCTTAGGAGGGTGATTCTTAGGAGACAAGAGTATAACTAAAATAATAGACAAATAGAAAATCTAGCTGCCAGTGGAGGTGGGACCCTTAGGAGGGTGATTCGGTGTCTAATGGCTTCATAACATTGTGCCGATATGCATCCATCGACACAACATTGTTAGGTAAACAAGAACTTCTTTCCTTCACCCACTTAAGAAGAGTGGAAGACCCAAAAGTGGTAAAAGATCCAATTGGGTCAGCCACTCATCAATATAAGAGTATAGATATAAAATAAAATTGTTCTGGATGTATCCATATGTATTTGGTTGGGATTTCATGTAAATACTTATCACAATCTAATATGGATGGACTAGGTGGCACATTCCCAACTTTCAAAGATGTTGTACATCTTGTTGAAATTGTACTAGCATGACATTTTGTTGTCTATGTTGTCTCTTTTGGAAAGCTGCATCAGGTTGTAAATTGATTATTGGGATATGAGTCCACATGTTTGTCTACTAAGCATCTCAAATTGAATGTATTAACAATAAGTTGAGCCTAGATTGCTTGGTACTCCTTGTAGAGGAGAGATCTGTTTTTTAAAATAATCCCATGGTCAAAGCTAAAAAACAAAGATCTCATAAATGGACAAATTAAAATTTCATTTGTAGAAAACTTTTATTTGAAGAAATGATGCTTCATGTTGAGGGATACCTTTCCTACAACCCTTCTGCCGGATGCACTTTTAGCTATTATATTGCTCTTTTGACTATTATCTATTTCCTTGAGACACTAAGATGTTATATTTATGAAATTTTTGTAATTTTCTGGAGATGTTTTCTAGTTCAAGTTGATACCCATCATAGGATGCCAATATGATACATTTAGGATGAGTGCTTATTTTAGCGAAACTTGGACACATTTTAATGTGCTTATGCATACAGTGATTGGTTGGTGTGTTGGTTCCACTGTTATGTAAGATTATATGGTATCATTTTCAGTGATTGAAAAAGGCGCTCGCCTAGGCGCTCGGGCGAGGCGAGGCGAGGCCCGAGCGCCTCGGTAATCTCCCAGGCGGCGCGCTTCAAACAGGTGCCGCCTGGGTGCTTCGGGTGAGCGCCTGGGTAAATCAAGGCGACCAAACCAGGATTTTAGGTCTGGTTCGGTCCTGGTTCGGTTGTTAGTTGGTTCAATCGAACCAACTAAACCGATATAACATTTACCCAACCCTAACCCTTACCCAACCCTAACCCGTTGCCGCTGCTGCCGCCGCTCCCGATTTTGCTGCTCGCCGCTGTCGCTGCTCGCAAACGCTGCCGTTGTCGCAGCTCGCCGCTGTCGCTGCTCACAAACGCTGCCTCTGTCGCCGCTCGCGCCTCCCGCTGCTCGTCGCTCCTGCTCCCGCTGCCGCTACTTGCCGCTGTCGCTGCTCGCGCCTCCCGCTGCTCGCCGCTCCCGCTCCCTTTCCCGCCGCCGCTGCCGCTCGCCACTGTCGCCGCTCGCCACTGCTGTCGCTTGCCGCTGCTTTCTCGTTTCTCCGTCAGCAGGCTTATACTGTTAATATTAAGTTTATTTGAATTTTGAAATGATTAATTTTCAATACTGTTAATAAAATTTTATTGTTTTGAATTTTGAAACTTTTTGTTAATGTGACATTGTGATTTTGTATCTTAGATTTTTTTAATTTAATAGCATATTTTTATTTAAAATTTAAAATAATTATATTTATTAATTATATTGTATATTTTTATATTTTAGCGCCTCGCTTCGCTCGGGCGAGCGCCTGGGCAAGCACCTAGTGCCTCGGGCGTTTTTGGACCTTGGCGCCTTTTGACGCCTAGCGCTTTTTTAAATCACTGATCATTTTCACTTTTGGTGGCCATACCATATTAGAATTTGTAAATTGATTTTAGTTATTGAATGACTAATATTGCCTATAATAACAACATATTTAAACTGTATCCAAAAAAATAATTTATGGCCTTGTTTCAATATTAATTCTTATCTAGCTGAGTCATTCTTTATGTTTTCAGGTTGCTAGCTCTTCAGTCTAAAGACTTGCCATAGCTGATAAATTTGAAAATTTTCTTCTGTTGCAGATAAGAACAGATCATTTGACTATATAAGTGTCACACCACCCTACATGGCCGTCGATTATACCGTGCTCATGGATCATCTTGGAAAATCACCTTTGGTTGGAGAAGACTGTTTCATCGTGAGTCATGCTTTGGCATAATTTTTTTCTTTTTTCTTAATGCTGCTCTGGTCAGAATTAACTGTAATACTTGTCTTTTTTTGCTAGCTGGTGGAGTATCCCCTTAAGACTTTGTTGGCTGACTCTTGTGGTCATCTCATAAAAGTACTTTCTATCAACTTTTTATTTTTGTATTCTTATCTTAATATCTTTCATAGTATGATAATTTTTTATTTCGTTATGTTGGCACTTGTCAGACAGTAAAATACTTTTGTTTTAGGTTGATAAGGGATTAAATTAGAACAATAGTTTGTTACAAAAAAATTGTTTTTTTAAAATGTTTTAATATTAGGGATATAATACCCTGATTTAGTCTCACATTAGAATTGATTATGGGTTTATAAGGGTTTGATGGGTAGAATGTTGTAAGTTAGATTTAGGCATTTTGGACTGGTGGTTCAGGTTTAATAAGTTAAAGTTATCTTATTGGAAGTAGTCATGATAAATGGTATTAGAACTTAGAAGTAATCTAGTATTGAGGAGGGTGAAGGACTCGACTAAGAAAGGACTACTTGTGGACGGAACTAAAGGGCATACCATAGTGTGAAGCCATCACTAGGCTAGGCCTCACATGCATTAAGGTTTATGACCTATTTTGGTTCCTAATCAAATCTTCAAGCGAGAAATATTTCAATATTTTGATTTAGTTTGACATTGGAAGTGGCTATAGATTTTGATTAACTTATAAGGGTCTAATGAATATAGTACTATTAACTTGGGCTTAAGTTATTCCATTGGGATGGATCGTGACTTGGGACATTTTGTTTATTTGTTCTAGTTCTTTGGTGAAAGGAACTCATAGTGTGGACTATAACATTTTGTTTGTCATCATACAAGATGTTTTTTTCGTGTGGATTATCATAGCTTGTCCCTTGCTGTATATTAGTCTATAATAATAAATCTATGCTTGTTAAACTTATCCCTCTTGTTTATTAATGTCATGCTTATGTTTATTTTACTACCCTGATTATTAAATTATGTCACAAATCGCTGTTGCTGTCATAGGACCAAGGCTCAAATGTGCAAGTCACACTATTTTGTGTGTTAAAGCTTTTCTCTATGATTCCTGTCACCCATTCTTTTACCGGCATTTAATATTCGATTTCTTTGTTTTATTTTGTGTTACCACTGAATAAACTAGTTCTTGTACATTTTTTTGGCACAATCTGTACGCAAAATGATTATGGTTCTATAACTTATTAGTGTTTAATTCAACTAGAATGTACTGGCAATGATATTCTTTTCATGATTTATCTTTTCCATATGGCATTATGGTAATTTTTCATGTAGATGTAGGCCTATACGGATACTTGATGTCCTGGATACCTATGAATATTAGGCCTTAAGGTTATCAGCACAGGTGGTGTGTGAACTAGAATGTGCCTGTTGGAACGGAATTGTTTTGCAGCATTTCCTGTGGCACTTCTGCTCTGGCAAGACATTTTTTGTCATTAAGAATACTTTCTTCAAATATACAAAGGTTAATCAACAAATTTACTACAGGGAGAGTGGGCAGAATAATATATTAAAATAAATGGTGTCACTGAATTGTTGGTCCATAATTTTTATGATGATCTTTAGCGAATAGATGCAAATGGAACCAAAATTGTTTGCAAGTTTCTTTGAGTGCACTGAGGCCTCTGTTTATATTACCTCTTTTTCTTGAAGAGGTTCTAGGTTCAAGTGTCTGTGGAGATGATGACATGGTACTTGCCTAGGTATTTCCCTAGGTGGGGGCCCTCCCCTCTATCATTTGCAAGAAAAAAAAAAAGAGGGGGGGCGGGGGCGGTCACGGTCAGAGTTAAGGAATTAATTATATCATCTATTAATTGTATGAAGCAGATATTTTTGCTTATGATTCTGAACTCAATTGTTTAATTAATATCAGTTCCTCATTTTCTTCTCTACCTAACACCTCATATCCCAGACACCATTTCAGCATAAAGATAGATGAAATGTAATATACTATAGATGGACATATTGTATAAACCAAGGACCGTTGTGCCGTGTTGATTGGTGGTATCCGTCCCTTGGTGGACTGGCATTGACTGGTCAGTACTGTGAGATGGTATGCTGGTATGTATCAGTTTTCGGAAAACAGGCTGGAAAATGGTCAGAAAATAGGAAAAAATCATTTGTAAAGATTTTTTCTATTTAGATAAGAATAAAGTGTATCTAAGCCATAAATGAATAGTTTGGATCTAAGGAGTAAAAATTGAATTTATCTTTTTGGATCTGTTGGGAGGAAGTTTCTTCCATTGATCTTGAGCCATTTAAGAACTTTTAGTCAAAAGTAAGAGTTCACAAATGACAGTGAGAGAGCGAGAATGAGAGAGTGAGTGAAGGAGGAGAGGGAGAGGGATTTAAAGCCTCAATAAAGGCCCCAACGGTCAATTTCTATTTTTCCTCATTCAGGTAGCATGTTGAATTTTCCTGTATATCATTGTTTCTATTTATTCTGTTGCACAAACACTTTAGGCCTTCAAATAAAATGTTTGACAAGCCTATCAGTTAAGCAGTAATACTCACCCATTAAGTATCTTACTGCAGATAGCTGATAGGAGATTTGGCAGGACGAATCTGGTAATATATGGCCCATCTTGGGCTGAAAAGAAGAGGAAAAGCAGGAAGGATTTACTGACATTGGAGTAAACTTATGCTCAGAAGTAGTTCAAAGGACGAATTTTGATCTGGATCCTGTAATAACTAGAAAGATGATTTTATCTGCTGTAGCAATTGCAAAAGCCATGTTTTTGAATTGAGATGGAAGCATTACAGTTCTCCAACAGATTCAGGTAGCTCCCACTGGTAGTTGTTTTTTCTTCTTGTAGAATGGTCCTTAATATATCTTATCAATTGTCATTATTTTTGTTCACCGTTTATTTCACATTGAAGGATGTCTTTCACATATTTTCATACTCTTGGAAACTAAACTTTTATCAACCTTGATTACTGTAGCTTGTATGACTCAATTTTCAGGACTGCGGTTCTGTTTGGTTACTTTGGTATTGGCTTTAGTATCCAAGTTCGAGATCATCAGATTGGTTACTGTATAGTCCTTATCAGATCATGCAATAGGATTTCTTTATTTTTGAAACAAAGTGGATTGGCCAAGACCAATTCTTAAACTAAGCTGAAATTTGGACAGAACTGGCCAGAATTCACTGAAACTTGTTGGGATTGGTGGGAACGGGAACCAGTTGTGAATTGACTGATTCTCATCAATGGTTGTCCAATATGGTTGGCATCAGAAAATTCAGACGAATTTCCTGTCAAGTCTTTGCAGATTCTTAAAGTTCTAATTGATCCTAAAGAGTCCAGATAATCATCCAGGGGCAGTCCTTCGAAGTTCAAACCATGTATGTGTTCTAGTTTTGCATGTTTTTGGTGATTGGTTCATCTGAAACGCAGGCATCAAAGAATACACAAAAATACATAGAGAGCCTTCTGAAGAGATTTTCTCATTGGATGATGTCATGGTTTGGTTTTATGAATGAACTCTGCAATCAATTTTGATTTACAGGTGTCGATACAGTTTATGGTCAAACAGTGAAACAAAATCAACATAATATGATCATTCCATAAGGATTTCAGATTAGATGTTTCTTCTGGTATCTTCAGGGAGATAAGTTTCTAGCCATTTTCATCTGCATTTATTTCTGAAATTATATTTATATGTGTAATAAGTTTTCTTTTCTGATATGGTTGATGACATGAATGGGTTCTATGCATCCAGGCAATTATTAATTTGTTGTGTCAACTTCAACATTTCTAAGGTCTAATATCACATTTTTTGCTGACTGGACAGACAAACGACTCCTCTTTCTGAAGAATGTCCTGAAGTAGCTGAAATGTTTTTGCAAAGGTGGTGCTGAAGAAGGTGATGCTGTATTGCCATTGTGTTAATGCAAATGATCCTGAGAAGGCAACAATGTCACTGCAACACTCCAATTGCTGTACCAGCAGGCAGATCCATCATCTTAATTGATATGCCTAAAATCAGATTATATTATATTTATAAACACGAGTTTCTCTTGGTATATTGAGATGGATGCTTGAACTTGGATTGTTTATGAAGGATATATGTTGCTAAGAGCCTTAAGAAGGGGCATTCATCTTTGCAGTACCCTTGGGTAAAATTTGAGTAAGAATCTGCTGCAATTAGAACCTGTACATTCAAATGAATTATTCTACTTTCTCTGTTATTATTTGAATTAGTGAACTTCTTAAAGAACTCAATTTTTTGTGATATTTATTAAATAGGAATTCCCAATTCTTCAGAATTATTTGTAGAAATATTTAAATACATGTATCCATATCAAAATGTATAGCTTGTAATTGACACTTATGATGATGATGATTATTATTATTATTGTTATTATCAAGGGTCTAATAGGTTAATGAAATCTGACAAGTATTTAAATCCTTGATCTCCATATTATATATTTATTGTTAAAATCTTGTTAGGATCTTTTTTTCTGAGTTTTTGAATAATGTTTATTGAGTCTGTTTAGTCCAGTTATTTATTGAGTCGGTTTGATTCAGTTAGAATCAAGTAGAGGTTTATTTAATATTTATTTATTATTAGAGTTCAAGTCCTGATGGACTTTGGGTGGAACTCTATAAATAGGGATGTAACTATTTCTTTTCAATAATTTATGAAAAATATTATTCTGTCTTTTAACAAACCCTAGGAGGTCGATCCCCTCGAAGTGATCAAGGAGGGTCGATCCTCTCGAAGTGATCAAGGAGGGTCGATCCTCTCGAAACGATCAAGGAGGTCGATCCCCTTGAAGTGATCATCCACTTTCTCTTCTTCTATTTTACGATAAGACTTTAGGGTCTTATTATTTAGTATCAGAGCCTACGATAAGACTTTAGGGTCTTATCAAATCCTTACCTTCAACTTATGTCCATCCCTGAAAATGTATCGATAGCAAATACCTCATCAATGTTGGGCAACCATTATAAAATATAAGTGTGTTTTTATTTTTTGGGTTAAAGTACTATTGCCATCTCTTGGATCCATAAAAAAAAAAATATTTTTTTTCATGTTCAATTAAGTAATGTGAATTATAGCTACCGTTAATAGTAGCTAATAAGAATTTATTATATATAATTATATGTATATATATATATATATATATTAAATTTAGGTTAATTATTTTGGATTAGTGATTCATAATAAATAGGTTAATGAGTAAATGATTCTATTGAGGATAAATGATCTAATATTAGATATGATGATAGAGGTCAAAGAGATTAAATAAGGTGTACAAAAATTTAATGGATATATTATCATCCAAATAGAGTTAAGTATTTTGGGCTAGTAATTCAAACCCAAGTTAATGACTAAATTATGCTATAGAGATTGATTGTGATAATTCATATCAGAATTAACCTAATATTAAATTAAGTTATTTTATTAATGATTAAATTTAGTCATGTTGGGAAGTGGAAGAATAACTAAGTCTATAAAGGTTTCTTATTAAGAATTTGACTTTGAGTATTTTAAATTAGTAATTATATCAAATAAATTGTATTAAGATCGAACTAATCATATGCGGTAAGAGGGGGTGATGAAGCTGTTTATATATATATATATATATATATAGAACTTGTCAAGCTTCTTATAAAACTGCGGCAAAACAGTGTCTTGAATCAGAGCAGAAAGCGGCCTCTCATAACCCTAACCTTCGTTTGGCCTTCGCCGGAGGAGCGCCCTGTGAGCCATGGATAGATACCAGAAGGTCGAGAGGCCGCGGCCGGAATCGGTCATCAACGAGAACGAGATCCGAATCACTAGTCAGGGCGTCGTACGGAACTACGTCAGCTATGCGACGAGCCTTCTCCAGGTGTGGATTCCTCTTTCTCGGAGATGCTTTCGTTGTTCAATCTAGTCGATTTCACATAGCTACTCAGTCGATTCTGTAACTGTCGATCGAAGATTAATGGCTAGTTGGCATTGCTGTGTCGTATAAATGACCTCATTTTATTTCTTCTCGTGTTCTACCTATGGGGGTGCTTCTTGTATTTGGTCTGACGGCGTGTGGCCCTTAGATCAGAGTCATCCTAGTTTCTATGTTTACCGAAGAAAGCTCGAATCTTAAGAATGATCTCGTAATGTCACGAACTTGAAGTTGTTTTAACCATGTAAGTGATGACGAGAATATATATATATACATAAGTGATTCACTTTAGAAATGAAAGGTTAATGCACACGGTCGTAGTCAACCATTCGTTGCGGAATAAGTAGTGCTTTCTTCATGTGATTCTGTTAACTTGCAGAATATCTATTCTTTTACTTTTACGTCTTAAATATTTAGTCTTACATCGAAAATGGACAAAAACTAAGATTGACCTATAAATGTTTGGAGAGTATATTATTGATAATTTGGGTTTAAGCATTTTGGTTCAGTGGTTTAGGCTTTCAATGAAATTAGGTTGGTTATCCCATTAAGTTAAGATGTGATATTAAATTTGTATGTTATGAGTGGATCCCAATTCCCATGAATAGGTTGAACAAACATGCGATAGTTTCTTTTTGAAATGGAATGCAAGTTTTATGCTACAAAGTTGCCTACATTGACTGGATTCTAGCCGAAAGAAATTGCTTGCTTTCTCCCCTTTCATCATTGACTTCCATATTTGGAGCCTTTTATTATTTACCTTTTTGAACTTGTAATACTCCTTCAACTAATGTTTTGTCTGTCAGATGACATGTGTAACATCATTCTACAAAAAAAAAAAAAACCACAGTGCCATCATTTATTTAATGAGAACTAGTAAATGTATAAGATATCTAATCTAGTAGTGTCTAACAAGTATCTAACTTCCTACAACACATCTCATGCCAAATGGTGTCGTGACATGGTGCATGCTTAAGCACATGTCTTTTTTATGTTTTGCTGACACATGCATGATGGTGGGATAAACATCTTCTAGACCTATAGATGAAATGTTGAAAAAAAAATCCTCTCTCTTTATATGTGATCATTTGTGTAGCTTGATGGATGAATGAAATACAAATTATTTTGTTGCAAGAGACTGTATTTGTTGAAATAAAATCATTATATTGTTGGGGATATGATTAATAAATTATTCCTTTACTAATTGGTTTATAGGTTTTCTTCCCCCATCCCCACCCAAACATCTGGTAATTAGAATCAATCAAATTTAAACAAACATAATATCATAAAACTAAGGGTGCTAAATGCATGCATTCTCAATGCCAATTTTGTGTCAGCTTGAGAACCTTGCTCCATGAGAGGGTGGGCCTTGGTCTCACGGTACGATTGCTTCTTTATGATTTACATGAATAAAAATTCGGGTCATGAAAACAACCTTTTTTCTCACAAGGGTAAGACTGCACAATTGATGGTCCCCACACTCTGTTTTGGCTGTAGGTTTGAACAATGCACCACCCTTTCTATGTGAATGCCAATATGTGCCAGTAGGCATAGGTCTTAACTCATTCTTTGTGTGACATCTAAGTCCATCATTATATCTTGGTATCCCATGAGTTTCAATCATGTGTGTATATGTAATTCTTTGTTTATTTGCAATATAAGCATCATTATTATCCATGGTATGAATGATCTCTGGATCTAAATACAAATTTTGAGAGGGTTATGTGAAAAAATGCAGTATATTATGAATAAATATCAATTTAACATTGTTCCCTCAAGCTGGTGTGGATACAGTCAATAAATGTAGTGACTTGAAATACCCAACAATTAGGAATGCGTACCTTTAAGGTTGCACTTTAAGCTTATGAGTGGTACTGAATTTTCTTCAGAAATGTCAAAGAAAATATAGGAGGCAGAATGACAATTTCTCTATTTAAGTTGTGAAGATTTGTTAAACCTTTAGTTGATTAGTCTTGCTGCCATGCAGCAGAGAAATGCTTTCGTGGAGAATCTTTATAATGAGGGTACTAAGTAACAGCAATGGAACTTACAATTAAGATTGCAACTACTTTGTTATTTTTAGTAGTGTTATTTAACTTCAGTAAGGTTGGTATTACACATGATTTTTTTTTTTTTGGTGAAGAATTGTAGATTCACAAATTCACCTTCTCATGCTTGGTGTTGAATGTATGATGATAGGGATGAACGGCTTGTGATTTTACTTAGCTTTGTCTATTGCTTACAATGTATTTCCACCTTCAATTATGACTTTGAAATTTCAGTGAAAGAGCAATTTTAAGTTGGAGGATTATGAAATCTCAGCTTGGAGTCTTGTTGAAGGTCTCTCTCCCTTGGTCATTGTACTAATAATGGTGTTACTATTTATCTTCTAGACAATTCGTCATCAATGACTTTGAATGTTTTCATAGGTCCGGAGGGCTGTCTTTGAGTTGTTTGAAAATCTGATATATATATCTAATTATTCAAACATGAGATATGTATTCAAAGAGGAGTATATTTGTCAAGGATAAGATAAAGGATGCTGTAGTTGAAGATTTGCATTTTTCATAAGATGAGGTTATACATACTTAAGATGTGGATGTCGTATATGTTGTTTTAGCACAATCATCTCAAAGAGGAAAGGAAGGAAAAACATAGAAGTAGGGAAAGCAAAAATAACACTGATAATAACCAAAGAATTATATGTGGCACATCATAATAATGCTCAAGGAAATTGTTCAATCCTTTTTAAGGGTAGGTCATTTACATCATTTATAAGCAATACCTACAGATGTAATCGAGGTTTGCAAGAATGAGATGGGGATCAGATTTGGATTTGAGCATAGAATTTGGATTGATCCTGTCAGCTGCCTCAGATCATGAGTTTGGACTTGAATATCATTTATATGATTATGATGGATATCAGCAATTGGTTAAAGATCGATTGAGATTGTAATAGCATGTGATCCTTCTTCCAAGGTTATTTTTCCAATTTATGGAGTAAAATAGTTCCCCAAGAGAGAAAAAGAAAGGTGTGTAACTAAACCATTGTTTTAAAAATTGGTCAAATCAGGCCATATACATTAATTTTTACCCATCTGATAAAAAATCAAGACATGGACTTGAACTATTCCACTCTGTCCGGTCTGAAACATGGTTTATTGCCCCATAACCCTACCAAATTGGGCACTCTAATTGGTAAGCCTACTGTTCGGTAAGCCTCTTGTCCGATACTCATGTACTTTTTAATATTTTTCTTAGACAACAATCATTTTTTCCCTTTTTTCATCAACCATTGCTCTCCTTTCTTACCCTTGCTCTTCTCTCTTCTCTGTCATTGCTTTGTTGTCTTGCTGTGGTCTCTTCACTGTCTCACCATAGTGGCTCCACTGCCTCGTCGTAACTTCTTTGCTGCCTTGTCGCAGCCACTGTCACTCGCCACAATTGCTCTGTCTCATTGCTCGTCTTGTTTCTTGCTGCTTTTTCTCGTACTTTCTTTCCTCCTAGTCATCCTCCTAATCTTCTCTTCCCCTCTTCTCTCCCACTCCCTGAATAATCCATAGTGATCGGTATGCTGATGTACCATGTGTTTTGGTACAATATGTACCAGACTTATACTAGTCCGATCATTGGATAGCACTGATCCAATACTGAACTTTCAATCATTCTATAATATGTTTATTTTATATAATAAAGTAGACAATACTCAAGTAGGTCTGTCAGGCTGCTAGTACCCTGAACTCCTAATCTAATTTGGATTTAAACTAGGAGTAATCCATAATAAATATAAACTGAAAATATGATAGAAATCCTTCCTAAACTAGATTGTGTTTGTTATTCCTGTTGCTTCAGCTCCAAACCTGTATAAACCTTAGTTAGGCCTCATTGGCAATGAAAACAACTACCAAACTAGTTTTTATTACCGTAAAAAATTTTCAAGTCCAATTTAACTTGTTTTTTCTTTTCTTCTGGGGTTTGGTTGGATTCTTGTCAGAGTTTTCTTGAAAATTTTGTCAGAGTAGAATTTGTAGAATTCTAGTGCTTTCTTGATGAGAATTCCTTAAAAATCAAATTCCAGAGCTTTTGTCCTCATCAGGTAGGTCTCAAACATGCATCTTGAGTCTCTAAAACTCTTCTTGGGTCCTATCACCTAAAGCCAACTGGATTTTTGGTCGATTGCATATGTTTAAGGTTCAAATGTGCTCCATAATAGATTGGGCCAAGTAGTCTTAGGCCAACTAATTGCAAGTGACTGTCAGCTGATCCAGCCCTGAGGATGTGGGTTTCAGGTGGTCCTATTTTGAATCAGCTAGATGTAAAATCAACTGTTCTAAGAGTTAGTTTAGACATGAGTGTTTTTCTAAATCCATTTGGTATTGAATGGAGGATCAATTTCAGGGAAATTTTTTTTTTGTGATAAATGGAATAATTAAGGGAAAGGAAAAAGGCTTTCATGTGGTTTTCATTGACCTATAAAATCTTATGAGATAATTCTCTAGAAATTCTTTTATTGAGCTTTATTATTTTTGTAAAATAAATTAACATTAGATAAAGTTTATTAGATTGGGATATCTAAAAAACAGTCAATATTCTTCATCAGTTCCCTATGTTCATATGGCTGCATGAAGGGTTAGCTTGAGCACTCAGTATTTTTTCTAGTACTCAGATAAACTAATTAGGTATATTTGTGTTTTACTTGCATAATTTATTGTGTTTTATTCTCAACATCGTTTTGTTTGATGATAATAGAGTGGGGTTAAACTCTGAGATAGGGCTGTGCACACAAACTTTATGGTTAAGATTCACAAGTTATATATGATAAAAGATCAAATATATGATGCACAAGTTTCAGAATATGAAAAGGACCAGATCCCTTTGAAATGTATGGTTTGAATGCTTTGTAAATTTGCTTTCATATTTTGATCTATCATTGGTAGGAAAATCAAAGAAGATATTTCTCATACAACTGAAGTGTGATGTTTAAAAACTTAAATAGAGAGGGGAATTTAGTGTTCTGTGACTACCCAGTATCGTTTAGGAAAGGATTATACTATTGTAAGGTAGTTATAACTATAAGGTTGACAAACAAGACTTTATGTTTCAGCTTGAGGGAACAAAGATGAGGACTGAGGAGTTGAGATGGATGTGTTGTTACCAAGAATGATCAAATAGGAAAAAGGATTGCATTCATTGAAAAAATTATTATAATTTTAGTTGAGAATCAAATGGGAGAAAATTGTTTAAGGGCGTTTCATCACATCCAAGTGATCTGCTTGGAATATCTTCCTTCGGAGGGATAGGAATTTTACAAAGGTTCTTATCTATGAACATGATGACTCTTGGATTATTTAGTGACATTGCCCTCGATAAGGCTAAATGACAGGAAAGGATTCACTTAGCTGAACCAGGAAGCCAAAAGTCAAGGCCTTTCATGTTGTCGTTAGAGGTTCCCAGCACTTCCTAGGAGAAGACTTAAGATATTACACATGTCAGAAAATAAAACAGAACAGCCAATCTAATATAAACTGGGAACATATTACACTTGAGTGTTACTGTGATGGGAAACATCATTAGCAGTTAAGCCCATTTAATGTCTTAGATTTAGGAAGATGCATCGTTCATCAATGAATCTGTAATGGATTACAAGAACTTAATAACCAATATTATGCATAAAATGCAATATTGTTGAGGTGTTACGTTGTTACTAAAAGACAGATTGTAAATTTTGTTAGCCTTTGAGAGAGGACTCCACTACTTGGATCTACTAGGTGACTCTTATCGTTTGTAATGGCATGTTGCCTATAAACTCTTCGTTTTACAGCTGCAATTTTTTTGGTTGATTCTTATTGTGGTCTTCCTGGTTACTCATAACGTAGATCATTGTGAAACATTAATGACATGATGACTTAAAGTTTGGGATTGGATATCATTTATTTTTGCTTTAGCATTAAATGTGAAATCTTCTATTCAGAATGAATATATACTCTAAATTCTACATAAATGAATATCATTTATGCTTTTATTCAGAATGAATATCATTAATGTTGCTGGATATTGTTTAAAGAAGTTAACTTCTCTTTGATGCCACTTGTTATGTTACTTCCATGCAGGAAAAACGTGGTAGAGAGATCGTCTTAAAGGCAATGGGACAGGCAATCAGCAAAGCAGTGGCAATTGCTGAGATTATAAAGGTGGTCTCTATAACTTCTGTTGCTATCCTTTTCCCTAAAATAACTGCTCAAAGTGGTATTAGTATTTTGGGTGCAGAAAAGGTTTTCTGGTTTATATCAAGATACTACAATCAGTTCGGTCAGTATCACTGATGTATGGGAACCTATTGAAGAGGGCCTCGTACCGTAAGTCTCTTGCCTTTTTTGGTGTTCATTTTATTACTTTTTTGCATGTGTTTTGGAGGTTTTGGATGAGTCTCCTTAAACTTCTTTCCAATTGTTTGTGTAGTTTGGAGATGACACGGCATGTTTCAATGATTTCAATATCTTTGTCAACCAGAGAGCTAAACAAGAATTCCCCTGGGTATGCCATTTGTTGTTTCTCATGCTGTGTTTTAAATAATATATTTTTTTACCCTTAGGAAGGTCTCTTGCATGTTGGAGAACTGTCTATTCTCTCATGATAGATTTCGTTGTTTTTTCTGGTAGATATCAAGCTCCCTTGCAAGTAGAGCAGCCAAAACGCCAGCAAAGATATCAACAGTTCCAGCAGTCTCAACAGCAGCAGCAGTTTCGACCGAAGCAAACGCAAGGTCAACATAATGAAGGTATGTGACTTTGTTTTAATACTTGTAAGATGTCTGTCTGATTGATTTTTAAATGCTTGGTAAAGATTCATATGCACAAGGACATGGTAGAGGTAGAGGAGGAAGAGGAAGGGGTTGGGGAAGAGGCTACAGTGGGTTTGCTGGATATGAGAATAATCAGGGAGGCTATGGCAAGTATCAGGGGGGATATGGCTATAACCAAGGTGGATATGGCTATAATCAAGCCAGATATGGTGGATATGGCCATGATCAAGGTAATTTATTTTATTGTAAATCTCTTCTTGAAATAAAATGTGTTTGCCCTCTTCAACTGAGAATTGTTTTTGGATGGCAGAAAATGGTGGATGGAACTCTAACTGGGGTCGAGGTGGTGGACGTAGTAGAGGCAATTGGAATTATCATGGTAAGTTTGCCTAGCCATCTCGCTCTTGCTTCTGTTGTTGCTTTACCAAGTACCTTGTTCACATTTAAAGTGGACTCAATAAATCCATGTGTATTTAGTTATTACTTATTCTAGCTTGGGTGGTCTAAGATCATCTATGGAACTTGTAAATCTTGTTTTTTATATTAAAACTGTCATGTTACATGATTTAAGTTTTGTTCAAACCTTAGTTCTAGTGGTGAAAGTATGAATAGACAGTATCCACCCAAATTTGTTTCCAGCAAGTGGATCGAAATTTCATTTGTGTCTATTACATGCTGCAGTAGAGAAAGATAACTTTTGCTCCATTATGAGTCACTTACCGGATGGTTCTTGTACTCTTTAACAGTCGAGATGACAGTCTACCTTATCGAAATGAGACTTGCAATGTGCTTGCATTGAACATGTATTCTTTTAAGAGGCAAAAAAAGTCTAAATATGCATAGTAACTTCTCTTTTTGTGTGCTTGGGCTAAATCAATTCTCAAATATGACAGGTGGTGGATATGGAGGGGGAAGAGGAGGTGGTAGCGGAAGGTCTGGTGGCAGAGGTTACGGTCGTGGACGAGGAAGGATGGGTGGCCGTGGCAGAGGGAACCAATTCTAGTGCTGGCCGTGGCGTACTTCCATGCTTGGGTATTTAATCGAAAAACTTAATTGGGGCATCAACTATGACTTGTGGTTATGCAAGATGAAGCTCTGATGGTAACGTAAGTGTTCGTCTTTCATCGGCTATATGTTCCTGTTGGCTTCCCAGGTTGGATTTTGGTTTTCCCATAATTCTGGAGTTACTTGAGAATGCTGTAATCTGCTCCATTTCTCTTTGTTCATACACTTTGATCAATTCATGCCAATGCATATAATTCTGCTTAAAGAATAGCCATCAGTTTTTGCTTTCAATTCTGATCTAATTTAATCTGTCAAGGTGCAGTTGAAGAATGGAGTGTGGAATGCATGGTGTTTAAAAACTGGTTGATTGAGTTAAAAATTGTTCAAGACTATTAGGGGAAGCTACTTTTTTACTCTATGGAGTTAGCCAAGTTTTTGGTTGGTTAATACTATGACAACAGATGCCAATTTGGTTAATTGAAATCTTAAAATGTTGTTGGGAATTGAATCCAATTATAAAATAAGTACAACCTAACAAGGATCAGCGATATATATGGAGTGGTATGTGTTGGTCTAAACATGAATTCAAACATGACAAAAAATGTTGTTATTAAATTTATGTATGTTATTTAGAAAAGCTTTGTTCTTCTTTGCTTTTTAGCTTTGTGCTCTGTGCTTTTTAATTTTGATGCTATCATGACAAATAGTTCGTTCATATACAATACAATAATGTATATGTAGTGTGGGTATGGTTTAGTTGTAAACGTGTGATTCGATCTATTAGTTTAGGGTATGATTTGAACAACTTAAAGTCCAAACTTACCCGATAAGAAATTTTGTTAGATACAGTTACCATCATTGTTCATCGAGGCTTCACAATCGTTTACTCTCCTATCATCAGCCCTCATACATGATCATCTGATTTTATATAGACTTGTGTTGTTTTTTTGGTAAACTGTAGCAGTCCACAGGTGGTATATAGTACCAATTTCTTTCTTGCGCAATCGTCCCTTCTCTTGTCCCTCACTTTTTGGTCGACTCTCTCGTGCCATTTTATTTAGATATCTCCCAATTGGATTTTAGATTAATTTTAGTTGAAAAAACAAGAAACAAAAACCTAATTCGTATACTTGTTTCTAAATTGTATAAAGATCTTGCAATGCTAACAAAAAAAAAAAGAATGTTAATGGCAAATGTTTGAAGAAGTTTTTAAATTTGAGAAATTTTGGTAAACTATTCTCATTTTTAAAAATTTTCATAGAATATTTTTTTTAAAAAATAATTTTATCCCTGGTCTCTATCCTAAAAAATGATTTTATCCCTAGTCTTCGTCCTATTGGGCGTCACATTCGTCTCGGTCCCCCGCCACCCTTGTTCTTCCTTAGTCGCTTGTGTCTCCACCTCCGCTCCCACCTCGGGTCGCCTTTGCACACAAGCCCCCCACCCTATTATCATAGAGTAAATTGGTTTTGCGTAAGACGTGCGATATTCTTGCATGTCTATCTGCAAAGGGTTAATCTTCCCAAAACCTCTTATGATCCCTTAAAAACATACAAAAGAGAAGATGAGTTAGAGGAACCGCTTAACTCAGAATTCTACAAGTTATCATTTTAGCAAATACTTGATAGATAATATATATTACAAACATAAACTTCGCAAACTCTAAATGGTCACGCGACAAAGAATCCAAGGTGGTTTTCCATGGCCAAAAGTTCACACAAGTGTCCACATAATACTATTGCGGAACAAGATAGTGAACTATGTCTAGATACTATCCCAAAGGACCATCTAGTCATATGCTGCCCGAGTAGCTCTTGGGAGCTGTGTTGGTGACACTCTGCATCACTCTATGGAGTTAGAAAATCTCCAAAATGATTGCCTGGATGACTTATTTTTACGTAATTTTGTCTCTATGAGATAACTACACATAACTTGCATTTACAAGCCTAAAATAATCATAAAAGCCAACCAAAATGAGGCTGTCAAGTCTATAAGTGGGCTAATTACATGTTACCCTTATAGTCAGACCTTCTTAGCCTCTGAGTCCCTAGGCTTAAAAAATTTATATAGAAATCCCTATGGTTATGAAAGTAAAACATTGAGTATGAGATTTGTTTTACCCATGAAAACATGAAACCAAAGAGCAAAAAGATAATTTGAAAATTCCAGTTGGTGGTGACGGACGACGGCACCGTTGAGGCCGTGGGTGGCCGTTGTGGATGAAGAGAGTGACGATGAGATGTGAGGTTCACTTTGTATTTGTGTTGACGTTGCGAGGAAAGAGCTGCTTGACATTGGCATCAACGTTGATGCAGATATAGAACAGTGTTGCTCTACATTTGTGTCGGCATCGATGTAGAAGCCGAGTTTATGGGTGACATCACATGCGCAGCGGAAGAATAGAAAATAAAAAACCCTAAATTAAAAAAAAGGGTGTTCATTGTCATGCGAAGATTGATATACAAAAACCCATGAAACTTAAATCCACGCGTGAGATAGTTATGTTACATAGGGAGATCGTATATTCCTGAATCCCTACAGATCTATCGGAGATGATGAAGGAGGTCAAGCGTCCTCCTCTCTAGCAGTGATCCACAAAATAAAGTTGCGACGACACTCCTCAAATCACTACCTCCTCTCTAGCGGTGATCCACATAATAAAGTTGCGACGATACTCCTCAAATCGCTGCCTAAACCTCCACACCTGCTATTTGAGGAGGAGAAGGAGAGAGGAGAATAAGAGGTGGCAACCAAGAAGCCTCTAGCCTATGAGTATTTGGTTTCCTCCTATTTATAGAGGCCTCATATCAATTTAACTCTAATGGATTCTGCTATATTGGGTATTGGATCTCTATTTAACTACCCAAGCCTCTTAGATTTGTGGATCTCTATTCAATAATCTCTCGTTGGATTTTTATTGGATCTCATCCATAGGATCCAATATTTCTAGGGTTTATTGGATATCCAATAAGATAGGGCTCTAACGAATATCTCATATCTAAACCTCTACTCGTCACAATACCTACCATATGCGTGTGACCCTCTAGGCCCAATATCGAGTTGGCCGTGTGTCATCACTCACGTGATTGGCTTGTAGGGTACCTATGACTAGCAATCTTCCACTTGACCTAAAGCCAATCACATGTATTTGATCCCCATCAGACCCTTGTGACGCTCAAAGACAATATGAGACAATGGCTTTGTTAGTGGATTCGCGATGTTATCTTTAGATGGAACTTTTTCCACTATTACATCTCCTCGGGCCGCGATCTCTCTAATCAAGTGGAATCTCCTCAGAACACTTCTGATGAGACTTGGGTTTCTTCGCTTGAGCAATCGCCTCGTTGTTGTCATAATATAAGGGAATTGAATCTTCGCTGCCCGACACGACTCCCAGATCTTTGATTAACTTCTTCATCTAAACTTCCTCATTTACTGTCTCTACTACAACAATGTACTCCGCCTTTGTGGTCGAGTCAGTAGTAGTATCTTGCTTAGAACTCTTTCAGTATATTGCTCTTCCATTCAAGGTGAACTCATACCCCGAATTAGACTCTATCATCGACATCGGATTGGAAACTCGAGTCCATGTAGTCTTCAACCCTAAGGCTACTACCTCCATATACTAGTAAAAGATCCTTAGTCTTTCTTAAGTACTTAAGAATACACTTTACTGCTTTCTAGTGCTCTAAGCGTAGATCCGCTTGATGCCTGCTTGTGACACTCAGAACATATGCTATATCAGGCCTGGTACATAACATGACATACATGATAGACCTTATCGCTGAGGTATAGGGTAACATATCCATGTTCGCCCTTTTTTCAAGAGTATTTGAGGATATACTCCTAGAAAGCGTTATCCCATGTCTCATCGGTATGATACCTCTCTTGAAATTTTTCATGCTAAACATTTTGACAATGGTGTCTATGTATTTGGACTGGGATAAGCCAAGCATCTACTTAAATCTATCTCTATAGATCCGAATCTCCAAGATATATTATGCTTCCCCTAAGTCCTCATGGAGAAGTGTCTAGATAACCAAGCCTTTATTGTGGATAACATTCGTACATCATTCCCAATAATCAGGATATCATCCACATATAACACCAAGAAGGTAATAGCACTTCCACTTACCTTCCCGTACACATAAGGTTCATCTTTGTTCTTAACGAAGTCATAAGATATGATCGCCTTATTAAATTTTATGTTCCAACTTCGGGAAACTTGCTTTAGTTCATAAATGGACCTAAGCAACCTACACACCTAATCTGGGCAGTCCTTAGATACGAATCCCTCTGGTTGTATCATATACACCTCATCCTCGAGGTTGCCGTTGAGGAATGTAGTTTTCACGTCCATTTGCTATATCTTAGAATCATAATATGCTGCAATGGCTAATAGAATCCAGATGGATTTCAGCATGGCGATGGGTGAGAAGGTTTCATCATAGTCAACACATTGCCGTTGATGATACCTCTTAGCCACTAGCCTTGCTTCATAGGTCTTTATCTTTCCATCTATTCTGATCTTCTTCTTGAAGATCCACTTGCAACCAATGAGTATAATACCTTTGGGTGCATCAACTAGGTTCCAAACCTTGTTGGAGTTCATGAAATCCATCTCAGAATTCATGACTTCTTGCCACTTCCCAAAGTCTATACTTGTAATAGCCTCATCGTAGGTTTGAGGATCAATATTTTCAATATTCTCTCCTCTAATATGTCTTACATATCTTTCAAGAGGATGAGATACTCTACCGGACCTACGTAAAGTTGAAACTTTTGTGCTAGGTGCTTGAACAGACTCGGGCTGTAGAGTGGTGCTTGAGCTAGGTTCTCCAACTTTGCTCAACTCTTTCACGCTCCTACTGTTTCCGCCAAGAATGTGTTTCTTCTTAAGGAACGCCGCTCTCTTGGCTATAAAGATCTTTTGGTCCTTAGGGTGATGGAAATAATACCCATAAGTTTTCTTGGGATATCCCACGAACTTGCACCGTTTTGTCTTGGATTCCAACTTATCGGGGTTGTATTTTTTAACGTGAGTAGGGCATCCCTAAATCTTAACAATATTAAGATCGGGCTTCTTCCATTTCCATATCTCATATGGTGTAGACACCACCAACTTAGTTGAAACTCTATTCAGAAGATAAGCTGCGGTCTCTATGGCATATTCCCAGAATGAGATGGGTAGATCGGTGAAGCTCATTATAGACTACACCATGTCTAACAGTGTACGATTCCTCCTTTTAGATACACCATTGAGTT